AACGCTAGCGTTACAATTTGAACGATCTCCATGAAAAATTTCGACGATGATTTCTGCCAAACCAAGTCACATGCATTGTTCAGCAAAGCGCCTTAGGCGCTCAGGTTGACAAGCCACACAATATCGCATTGTAGATTAGCATATTCATTAGCGTCACTCGGCGTGTTTTGGCGTGGGTCTCGGTATCGACCAATGGAAGCCTGCAAAAAGGTTGATATTTTTTAATTAATAACTCGTGAAGGAGGCTTTTCTCAAAATTTTTACTGCTCACCATAATGGATATGAAACCATAGTAATATTCGTGAGGCTTGAAAAGATTGACTGCTATTGCAAACGTCAGTGTTACAACTTTCAATGATGCACGTAGCCAGGGTATAGTTTTCCAATTTCAACGAAAGTAATGAACACACCACAACGATTTTTAGCACATACTTGGATCATTATGAGGAAAGTAAACCCTGAAAGTTGCATGAAGATACGGTCTTCCAAACGGGAGAAATTAATTTTCAAAGATTTCCCCCGCCAACGTGAACATGTCTGTGCACATGTAGTTCAAAATGAAGTGTTACGTAACCTTTAGAAATCGCCCTTCGCAACCGTATGACTGCTGTATATACTATTTGGTCAATGCAGATTCCAGTCACCATAGCCTCGTAAAGAAAGATCAACATTAGTTCTTTATTAATGACATTTTTTCTTCTTTTTCCCCTCTTTTGGGGGGGTCATGATTATCCTCCATCTAGCTCAAATTCCCGATGGCATTCATATTGTTTCATTGACCGAGAAGGCTCCCAGGTGGTCGTTCCAGTCACCAAATTACGACCATGGCTTCTACCCACGCGACACTTTCAGCGTGTGGTTGATCAAAGTCGACAGAGGATCCAGGGTGACTTTCGACTTCGATGTGATGGAGATTGCATCAGGTGACGGACTGACAATTGGGAACGGGATCAGTCCATTGTCTATTGGTGAAGGTTCTATCGCACATTTCCATGGGACTTTTACCGGTGTCGGCGGGGCTCGAGTCACGTCTAACAGTAATGAGGCCTGGATGACGTTTGGGAGTGGCCATGAATGGTCCTGCCGAGGGTTTAACGTGACAGTGAGGCAAGAAAGCCAAGAACGACAGTCAGCATGGATAAAAGAAAACGGTGGGTGCTGGCGGAATCAAGTCATCAGAAGTCAAACACACGTCATTCAGTCTCAAGTCAGTGGCGTAGCTAGGATTGTATTGGTGGTGGGGGGGGGGGCACAGGGGGGGGCATCACAATGTCATGGGGGGCACATATCGCAAACGTCCTATTGCAGTTTTTCCCAGTTGGGCCCCATAATGCCTCGCTATCCATTGACATAAGAAATTGTAAACAGTAAGCCTTTGGCTAACTGAAAAAAAAATACAACTTACAAAAACAATTGTTGGTTGGGGAAGAAAATGGGGCATTATCAGTATTTTGGTGTGGGCACCTGGGGGCACAGAAAATTCCCCCCCCCCATGGCTACGCCATAATGATAATGACTTGTGATGGACTTGTGATGCAATTGACTACATTAACGCGTGGTGCATGCTACGAAAGTAATGTTGCAATGCAAGTATATACAAATCTTGCATTCATTTTGCCATGACTTTTGACAAATTAAAAGTTGATTTTTTTTTTTAAAGCAAATCAGAAAATTCGTAATTAACGTTCGCAAAGCAACACCTTTCTTACTATACGGGTGATTTTAACAATAAAAATTTGCTTTCATTTGTGTAGTTTGCTCAGATGTTGATTCCCGTTGTGCGTTTATCAAAGTTGAGGAAGACGTTTGTTTGAGCAATGGCACACGATGCATTTTTGGTTGGCCGTGTAAGTATTGCTGTAATTTAACATCCTTTACGCCCATATCCTTTACTTGTTTATATGAGTCACCGTTTTAGGTGATTACTTCAAAAGTAACCGCACCAAAACTGGAATTGACTACATTTCTGTAGGGATTAAATGGTTCGTCCCTGACTTTGAACTAAGGTAGTTATTTATTGGGTTTAAAAAAAAATAATATTTGAAATTTAGCCATAGATGTATGACATTGTTCTCATTAATATTCAACTTATTTGGTACAAATCAATACAGGGTCTGGCAGAATTGATGAGTCTGTGTGCAAGAAATGTCCTGGCAATCAGCAATATGAAAATGGTAATGAGTTTGTTTAGTAAACATTCCAGACTTTCATAAATGTATGGTTTGGTGTCCTTACAGTGATATATAAATAGGCGTAACATTACTTAGCCGATTTATGCGGTCTCCGACAAACAACTTAGAACCATGGGCTTGATTCACGAGTCGGCCATGTTGAATTGAAAGTGAGGTAAAATCTTCATTTTTGGAACTTGCGAAGAGAAATGAAAGCAAGCACATTCTAAATAATTCACGTCTGCTTAAATGAATAATTTAAAATTTGTAATTAAACATTCCCTAATGTTTTAAGCCAGATTTAGCAAACAATGAAAGTAAAATAAGGCTGCATTGTGCCTGCATAAATAGTTAACAAATTATGAAATACTTTCAGACAAAAATTGCTACCTCGTGCAGTGAATAAGGTCCATCTTGGATATTTTGGATTAAGTTTTGCAAATCTTTGTGTTCAAACACTCCCAAACTGCAGCTCCATAAGAAACTTATTTTGCTTTTGAACAACGTGGAATTTGGCGAATAATTATGTTTCATCGCCACCTTCGAATATCGTGTTGAGTAAAAACTAAATGTTCCTTGTTGAGGTGTTCAGATCAACGCGACGTGCAACAGAAACTGTCATGGGCGGAAGAGGGGGAGGGGGTATTGCTGCCGGGGGCGGTAACCGGTATTTACTTTTCTGCAGGATATTCCTGGTTTTTTTTTGTTTTTTTTTTTGCAGCAAAAAAAGGGAATATATAGCCCCCGTAGATCCGCCACTGTGTTAAAGCTTGATGGATGTTTATGATTTTACACTGATCGCGTTCTCTTTGTGTGTCCATCAGAAAACCAGTCCTGTCCTCCAAGCAACAAGGAGTATTGCAGTCTATTGTTTTCTTCCCAGAAGCCATTTACATGTCGCTGTAACGTATGCCAAAGTGCAAACTTGATCCCGGAAAGTGTCGGATTAGAGGAACTGGATGATAGCCCACACACCCTGTACGTCACAATACAAAACAGAATCAATACATCTCGAATATAACTTTATAAAAACTCCTCAAAATAAAGTGTGTCTCAGAAAAAGCGGGCACAGACAAATCAGCGGCCATATCTAAACAAATCGTCGGTGTTTTCACGATTTTGAGTTTTGCCTACCAATTTATTGCATTTGACAAAAGGAAGAATTTGGCTGAGTTTCAAAGCGAAATATTGTTTACTTTTGTAATTATCGTGAACAAACATTTGACAAAATGCCTAAAATCCGTATTTTCTGTTTTTACGAAGTGACAAAACTTAACTCGTTAGCAGGGCCAGAGGAATAAAGCATTTCTCTACACACGCGTAAGGATGGGATTGGACGCGCACGCCGTGAACGAAGTCGATAAAGAACAGACGTGCGCGCGCTGCAGTGACGTCAGACCTAATAAACAACTTTGCATAAGCAAAGAACAAAGCATACGTTACTTGACAATGCAAGAATTTCTGAAATCCATAACTAAATTCTAGTCGAAAAGGTGTTTTGAAAAAATGATTAACTTCAGAGGAGATTATCTCGGAATGACCTGTTTGCATGACATTAAGGTTTTTTTTCACTTCGTGAAACCACCGACGAAATATTTATGTGAGACTTAAATTTTGTGTGTAGTTTTCATACTGTTGACGTTGTCTGTTGCCTGTGGAAAAATAAACCGAATTGATTGAACACTTTTAAAACAATGACTAGAAACGTAAGAGCTCCATTAAATCGAAATTTACGAACCTGTATCACACACGAACACATTTCGCATGCAACCAAGAAGAGAATAGGCCTATGTTTTTATTTCATAACACATTTTTATTTGTAATGTTCATTAAATCTGCATCTGATAAAATTTAATATTACGATGTTTATCAGACGTAGAATGCTCCGATTCAAAACTAAAACATAAACAACAGCCAGCAATTATTCCGGTTGCCCTAAAAATTTTAGCCGTCGTTATCCTGTAAATGAATGTAATGCCGATTGTTGACGGGAAAATGTGTAAATATCGATTTTGAAGAGCACTTACGTTTCTAGTCATAGCGTTAAAAATATTGAATCAAATCAGTTTATTTCTTCACAGACAAAAACAACATCAAGAGCAAAGAAAAACAGAAACAAACTTTAGTCTGAGGTGCATAGTTTTTTTTTTTTTTTTTTTTGTTTTTGTTTTTAGATATGACCACTTACGTGTCCGGACCCGCTTTTTCTGGGACACACTGTATACAACAAATGTTTTATCAATCCAGTTGTAACTTCCTATGTTCAGTTCAAAAGCAATACTCCTCGCATAGTGAGCTGGGGTGAAGGGGGAGGATCAAACCTTGCATGGTTACATAAACAATTCGAAATAATCGAAACAAATCACATCTATAAATCTCCATGTTTGTATATAGGCTTCTTTACAGGGTAAACGTCAACTCTCTTCAGAGGGGGACCTTCAAGGTGGAAAACCTTAAACAGTTGGAGATGTTGTAAGTATGCTTCTTTATTCGTTTGTTTTGTTTACGATAAATTTCGCATGACTAAATTCTGCCGAAATTCGTGAAAGATCCGAAAACAAACAAGTTATAGACGAAACCTGGATTTCTAAACGACAAATCGCTTACTTTAACGCACCCAATCAGTCTTCCAAATGTATTTGCCATGATGTGGTATATATATACACACGAAGATTCACATAATTTTGTTGGCATTATATGTATATTGGAATTTATAATTTATATGCCAGTGTCATATCCAAAGAGAAAGAAAATGACTTAATCAAAGATCAAACACTTCTGAAATTGGAATAATTAATCAATCAATGTGTCCTGTTTCAATTTAGAATTATGCAGGCGGCAAGTAATGAAGAATCAGATTTGAAGAATAACGTGTTTGATGGGTTGGACAGTTTGTCAACACTGTAAGTGTTTGACTAATCTTTCACAAACTTAATAATTAGAAAAGGTTGGGTCTTTCACGTGGGAACTAACTGAATATAATTTTACTATAATATAACACACAATTTGGAATATGCATTCGATGTGGGTATAACGTAACGTTTTCGTCTAATATTTTCTTTTAGCGTACTAATTGATATAAACCTGACAAAAGTTGAAGCCAACGCGTTTGCAGGACTCGACAATTTGACATCACTGTAAGTATATTTTAATACAAATCGCGTTCAATTTTTTTTCATTGGTTATGTCTTTTTGGTTTTTGAAATGCATGGTTTGATTCATGATATTGGCAAAGTGGTATAACGTTTGTTGCTTCCAAATTTCCTTACAATTTTCAGAATAATTTTGGTAACGCCTGGTTCAAAACTGCCGACGGTAGATGATGGTGCTTTTGAAGACTTCGGTGGCAAATTTTCCTTTCCGTGAGTGTGCTAATTCTCGAGTGTCATTAATTCAGTATCCAAACCCAGAAAAAAAAATCTAGAATTTGTGTGTATGCAAAAGCAAAAACCACAGAAAATATTAGCGGAATATAAGTTATTCTTCCCCGATCCGTAGATTTCGTGGAAAAAGGATGAAGTTAACTTGGGTTAGGTGACATTTTAGGTTTGTGCAAATTATATTTATTGTTATTATTATTATAATTATCATTATTATTATTATTATTATACGTGTAATGGTACCACTAAGGTGACACGTTATCGTCATTTCTTCGCACGATGGGAGACATCAGTCATTAGGGAGACATTTTCGTGTCTCCCTAATGTCACAGCCCCCTTAAAAGGCAAAATTGTACCGTCACAATTAGATTATATTTGTCGCTCGTGGTCTACTTAGTAAACATACCGAAATTCGTGGGGAAAAGGACAAGGGAATATTGGATTAGGCCACATTTAAGTTTGAAAAGTTTTGTGCACAAGTCTATGGGGATATCTCCCAAAATGTCCAATCCAGGGACGGAGTCACAACCGTGTTATATTTGTTGTTATAATTATTATTATGCGTTGTTATTTAGATACTTGCATGTCAGAAAATAGACTTCTGAAGCTAAATTACTCGGGCGGGATTCGAACCCACGATCTCCTGTTAATTATAGTCTGCCTGGAAGTTCTTGCTGTTTTTTTTTTTTTTGTATTTCCTGTCTATTTTAGGATTGTGAGTGACTATCTTCTGTGCTGTTACTTTAAACAAGATCTACAAGAAAAGTGCATAGAGGGGTTTCAGATTCCCGAACTCTTTGTCTGTCAGCTGGTACCATACAATGTCTTGAAGGCCTTCATGTGGATCTTGGGCATCAGCGCAGTCGTTGGCAATCTCTTTGTCATGGCTTGGAGGTGTCGGGAGAAGACGGGGAACCGTGCTGGTCTGATGATTAATTCCTTTTTGGTGTTCAATCTCGCTGGAGCTGATGCTCTGATGGGCTTGTACATGTTGATCATAGCGGGGGCTGATGCGCACTACGGGGCCCATTATTTCGAGATGTCTGGTGAGTGGCGAACCAGCGCCGCGTGTAAAGCAGCAGGGTTCATCTCCATCATGGCCAACGAAGCGTCTGTGTTTCTCTTAGTTCTCATCAGCGTCACGAGATTCATGTTTATTGTCTTCCCGTTTTTCACCAATCGTTGTCTGACTTTCAAGGTGGCTAAGATCGTTGTGGGCTTCGTTTGGCTCCTGACGGTCATTCTTGCCGTGGTCTCTACAGTTCTGGCTTCGGATGAGGATTCTGACGCTTACGGTCTCTCAGATGTTTGCATTGGTCTACCGCTGACGACCAACATTACAGAATATAAAATAGAGCCAATCGTCGGACCTGTTGAAAGATTCGGTAACGTGACCCTCGCCAGACAAGTGCCGACAAACCAGTCCGCTACCTGGGTCTTTTCTATCGTCCTGTTCCTGGGTGTCAATCTGTTCTGTTTCTGCCTCATTCTGGCCTGCTACGTCGCCATCTTTGTCAAAGTCAAAGTGACAGCCAGACGAGTGCGCAGCTGCAGCACGAGAGATGAAAGCGAGGTTCGGATGGCCGTCAAGATGGCGGCCATTGTCTTGACAGATTTCCTGTGTTGGATCCCCGTCATTATCATGGGAATTCTCTTCCAGGCTGGTGTGGTCGAGAACAATCCTGAGGTCTTCGTCTGGAGCGTTGTCTTCATCCTTCCCATCAACTCCTCCATCAATCCTTATCTCTACACATTCCTGGATGTTTGCCTCAAGAAACTACGCAAGAAACCACCGCAAAAGAAGGAAGAAATCCCAGTCGAGGCCACGCCTTCATCACAACAAACGACCTCTACGACTCGATGAATGAATACTAAATGTTTGAAAATATTCGTCTCTGAGGGCTCTCATTTATACAGTTTTGGTTTCATCACTAAAACGTTAACTAGCACAATAAATATAGAATATTGAATATATGTACTTGAACTTGACGCCATGCCCGCAGCACAAAACTAAACGACGACTGATGGATGAGTAAATCTTTGAAAATATCATATCTGTGTAAATCTAGGACGCAAAATATTTAAAAGGGTGTCTCAAAAAAAAAAACCGTGACCCGGGTTTATGTTTTTAATGGCTATGAAAAATGGAGTGATAATTTTTTAGGGGTCGATATTTTAAAGACACCCTGTACATAATGAATAATGATTGTAAAAACGTTAGCACAATAATATCAGAAAATATCTTAAAAAGGAAACAATTTTGTTTTTATGTTTTTATTCAATAAAAAGATGCCTTTAAAAAACTAGAAATGACTTACACGGAGTAAGAACTGGATTAGAAAATACATATCAACATTTTGTTTCATAATTGATAAGTGAAAAGTTGAACTATGACATCAGTGAGCATTATTGCCCCCAAAGAAGGGTTCAATGGAAGTGTTCAGATTTGTTAGCTGTAGTGTGTTTCCTTCCAAGAGCATAAGGTTGAATAATTTCAACAAAAATTATGATCATCAGAATTTTGCTCATAATGCGTATTTGCTGCGCGCTGATCATTTTTTGACCATCGGTATACTCAAATAATAATTCTTGTACTCTAAAAATATATTACACCGTCTGTTAAAGATATATTTTTGTGTGTGTATGAGTAGGGTGTTGCGAAATCATAAAATAGGAACATTTTAAAATCTACGTCTCAAACAACACGTGCGCCTCTCCAATTACAATGGCACACTGCATGTTCAAGGAGCGCGCGTGCGTGTACCGCGTGTGTGTCATGCGCGCGTGCACGCATGTCGGACATGCATCATGGCTGTGATTGGTCAAAATACTTAGGGATCGGCCTATAATTGACCTATCGTGGTAGAATCGCGTTAGAGTTGCGTAACACAGCTTGTGAAATATGCTCCAATTACATGATATACAAACGGGCGCGGAACGCGCAGTATCTGAGACAAACAAATCTTAGCATACAAACATTCCATGGGGTTGTCTAACTGGGGCGTGGCTAACTCGCAAACGGTGATAGGTCAATTATTGCTAATGAGATTAATTTAACAAAGGAAATCAATCACTTTCTTCATTTTTTGAAATTAATCTTATAGAGTTTCGAGGATTTTTTTTAAGGTAGTATATAGATTAGCACGCTCAGTATCTAAAACCAGAAATTTAGAAGTAGAAACATGTATAAATTTGAAGAAAAAAACGTATATCAGATTTTATAGCGTTTTAACGAGCTTATGATTTTGTAAAGTTTAGTATTTTTGTAGATAAGCAAGCTTAGTATTTTAATCGAGAGTTAGCACAGTTTGACATACTAATACTGTTTCAGCCTATTATAGACGTATATGCTGTTTAAAGAATTGTATCAGACTATAGTGATGATGTTGTTAATTTCTGTTGTTTTCGACGATCAAAACTCGCATTTTTTGTCACATTATGCGAAGATAGTTACCATTTTCTGAATTTTGTTGTAGTTATAATAATTATGTGCCACAACGACTTTCATCAATACACGTTGTTATAGTGAGCATTGCGAAAACAAAGGTAATACAAAAAAGTAATACGAGAGATACTCAACTTGAAACTGTACAAAGGGTTCACTGCAACATGAACGGTCATTCATCTGACAGTCTGTATTTTGTTTCTACCAAAATTGCAAAATGTTCGGGCATTTAATTGTTACCCTCTAAAATGATGGAAAAGACTGTACAAAATTAAGGAATTTGAAAGTCACAGAAATATGTACAATTTTTGCATTGATATGTATTAATTTAATTAGGATTATATACCTATAAAAGCGTTTGAATAATCGCATTGTAGAGCATTTGAACTAGCTTACTTTTTTGTAGAGTTTAGTACCATTTACATAATCAAGCTCAGTGTCTTAATCGGGAAGTAAGTTACAGAAAAAAATGTATCCATTTGATATATTAATCATGTATTAGTATATTATATGCTTTTTAAAGAATAATATCAGACTGAATGTTTTCTAAGCCTATACTGTATACGTTTTAATTATCGCATTTTAGAGAATGTTCTGCTTCTATTGTTTTTGTAGAAAATTTAGTGGGATTTAAAGAATTACGGAGATGAGCAAGTTCAGTTTTTTAGTCAAGATTTATGTTACAGTAATAATTATGTATCCATTTGATATAGTGTACTCTATTAAAGCATTCATATGGTATTTAAAATAATTACATTAGACCAAGACGCTGATATTACTAATATTGGCTTTTTCTTTTCGATCGCGTTTATTGGCACATTATAAGCAAAGACATCCCATTCTTTTATTTTATTTTTGCATTGATACAGGTAACATTTTCTAGAACAAGCTGTGCGAAAAAAACAAAATGTACAGGCACTTTTTACGCTCTACTATATAATGGCAGTAATCGGTGCAAAAATAGGGACAATGTTTGGGCACTGTTTTTTTCTTTCCAAAACATGTAGCTTAAACACCTTCTTAACATTTTGGTAGCTGCCGCACCATAACAGCAGTGTACTCTTTAGCAAATGGATCTGACAATGTTCATACATTTTTGTATTTCTGAGTGTAAAATACTGAATTATTTGGCTACATTTTGAGACCGATTCATGAGGACCCGCCCACTGCACACGTGGTCAACAACACGCGCGCATTGATACAGGTAACATTTTCTATAACAAGCTGTGCGAAAAAAACCTAACAAAAGCAGAGAGACTTCTTGTTGGGATAAAATGTTCCTGAATGTAATGCTAACAACTCACCCAACACCCTGTATTTTTTTTGCAGAAGAATTACAAAATGTACAGGCACTTTTTATGCTCTACTATATAATGGCAGTAATCGGTGCAAAAATAGGGACAATGTTTGGGCACTGTTTATTTTCTTTCTGAAACATGTAGCTAAAACAACACCTTAACATTTTGGTAGCTGCCGCACTGTAAAAATCTTGGCATTATAACAGCAGTGTACTCTTTAGTAAATGGATCTGACAATGTTCATACATTTTTGTATTTCTGAGTGTAAAATACTGAATTATTTAGCTAAATTTTGAGACCGATTCATGAGGGCCCGCCCACTGCACACGTGGTCAACAATACGCGCGCCCTTCCAATGCAACACTGTGGGTGCGTACGTGCGCGTCATGCGCGCGTGCACGCATGTCGGAGACGAATCACGGCTGTGATTGGTCAAAATACCATTGGGCGGGGCTTAATGGATCAGCTTATCAGGTTAATTTGAATTATAATCGTACACGTCAGCTTTGTTTATGTAGAGTTTATTCGGATTTAGTCGGATTTAAAGTAAATTAGCAAGCTCAGTATTTTAATCAAGAATTTAAACATACAGAAACTCAATCAATTTTATCCAAGCCTATATTAATAATGTCTTTATAAGCTTTATTGATGTTTGGAGTATATAGCATTTTTGATAATTATTATAGACTTCATCATAATATCCGTCACACAACGACTCTCTCCAAATGAATGTGCTCAATATTGATAGAATAAGCTGTGTGAAAAAGAATACAAAGAAATATCGACAGATAAAAGTCTTATTGCACTATAATACACTGTATTAAGTCCATGTATGTCAAAGTTAATGTTTAATTAACTCATTTAGCTGGCAGCATGTGTCCGCCAAAGATTTGTAAAATGTAAGGGCACTTTTTTTCCCCACTAAAATTAAGGCAACCGTCTACAATATTACATGACTAATTTCGGGCACCGTTGTTCCAGCAGTAACAATTAAATTCTAAACAATCGGCAGTGTATTTCCTCGTAAAATAATGAATTGGCAACTTTCATTTTTGAAACCAGCTTATTTACGTTATATCCGAAACTATTTACTTGGAAGAAGAATAAACTTAGTTTTAGCGCTTGAAATATGGATGTGTTTAGTGTTATATTGTAACAGTTGCTTTTATTTTAATTGTTGTCCAGATAGCCCTATTTTAAGATAACTTTTATGCTCTGCACTTTGTGTTTTCGCATTGCAATGAAAGTAGACATTTTTAGGATGTAAGCAAGTTGAACTTTAACCGGTTTGCACCTCATGGGAGTTTTAATCTCCATGATAGAAGGATTTATCCCCGCCCATTTTTTTGTCTTGGAGACAGGGAGATAGGAGGGGCTGAAAGACCATCCCTCTTTTTATTGTACGCAACACCCCCTTCCTGCACCACCACCCCCTTGATCTCCCCCCCCCCCGCTAATTCCCCCCCCCCCCCAAAAAAAAAAAATATATATCGGCATAGCTTCCGCTCTTGCACCCCAGCCCTCCGCCCGCCAAGTCGTCGACACGGTCGAGACAAATCTACCCCATACCTTGTTCTGCAGCTACGAGCACGTGAATGAGCTTGTTTTCAAAACATGGGGAATCCCCATGTGGTATGACTGACGTCACCATCTAGGAACATGAGCTAAAGGTCGGCTGTAACAACCTCGTTCCCTGGGTGTCGAGCAGTACGCTTCCACTCGCTCTCTCACCCTGGTATTGGATCATTTGCATATCCAAAAAAGTTGGATACGTATGCAGATGAGGAATAGTCTGGTGCCTGCCTGTGCTTTACATCAGCGTTTTTATTTGTATGTGGTGTCTGGGGTGAAAATAGGATCAATCCGTACCCATTGCGGCGTGAGTTACGAAAACAAAAAAAGAACAAAGTTAAAATGTTACACTCTTATCCCGCCAATATGCAGTATCACAATGCATAATAATATGAGCATATAGGAAAGGAAAGGATTATTGTTGAGAAGGTGTGGATGTAATATTTACAATGAACGTGAAAACACGTAGTACTCGTTGGAACTCGATATAAATCCATTACCTGCCAAATATAGACCTGAGACCTAATGACGTAATGGCTTTGATGCGCTTTCCTATAGGAGCGAAGTCGGGACGCCGGATAAAGTGGGGACCGTCTACCACATAGGAAAGCGCACATGTAAACAAAGCGTGACGTCATTAGGTCTCAGGCACTATCGAAACGGGATACACTGAGAGCAAGTTCCCACCCCAGGGCTTACTATTGGAAACGAGGTTTGAAATAAAGTAAGTCCTGTGGACGAGGTTGCGT